CACCTGGATAAAGTAGCAACTTGTCCAGGTGCCTCACCACGGCTGTGTGGGGAGCTGGTAGACTGCCTTGGTGGGTTGCTGAGTGGGCAGAGACCAGCGGTACTCTGCCCTGGTGCCAGTGCTACCACCGAAGTAGCCTGATTGGAGCCTGGTTGTGGGGGGGGGAGACCGACCGTCTCCCCTCTGGGTACACAGCTCTGGGGCTGGGGAACAGGACCGACCGTCTCTACCCCTTGGGCTGTAAGCGCAGAGACTACGGTCCCATCTGCACAGTTGCGGGGCTCAACATCTCCCCTTGGTGGGTTAGGCTGTCGCTGGAGAGAGGGTGTAACAAGCTCCTCTCTCTGGACTGTCAACTGCCGCTGGGGAGAGGGGTTAACAGGCTCCTCTCCCTGACACTCTCTCTGCTGGTGGAGAGGCGGACCAGCTGTCTCCCCTTTCATTATTTTGTCCTGCTGCTCGGGTGTGAGACTGACGGTCTCTGCTCCCTGCAGGACACACTGCCGCTGGGGAGGAAGGACGACACCTTCAGCTCCCTGGGGTACACACTGCCGCTGGGGAGGAAGGACGACACCTTCGGCTCCCTGGGTTACACACTGCTGCTGGGGAGGACGACACCATCAGCTCCCTTGGGTACGCACTGCCGCTGGGGAGGAAGGACGGCACCTTCCGCTGGGGCAGCCTGTAGAAAGTCAGGCTCAGGGGAAGGAAACAAGGGAGGACAGAGGCCAGCGGCGCTCTGCCCAGTTGCCAGCTCTTCTGCTGGGGGGTCAGGGAACAAAGGAGTTGGCTGGGGAGGAGAAATATCACTTACCCCCCCCTGGTACTCCGGCTGCTGCTGGGGGGGGAGGTCGATGCTCTCCACTTTCTGTAACTCCAGCTCTAGTTGGGGATCTGGGCCGGTTGCCCAGCATCCCTGTGGGGCCGGTGGAGAGATCTCGGTCCCATCTCCACCTGCCTGCAGGGGGTCCTCCCAGGACCAGTCAATGAGGTCCTCTACCTCGGGTACCTCTGGTTGCTGTTGGGGAGGGAGACCGGTTGTCTCTTCCTCCAATAACACATTCTGCCGCTGGGGAGTGAGACCGACTGTCTCCCCTCCCTGTAAAACATACTGCCGCTGGGGATCTGGGCCGGGTGCCCAGCATCCTTGTAGGGCCGGTAGAGAGACCTCGGTCCCATCTCCACCGGCCACCTCGGTTTCTTCCTCGTCCCACTCTACCTGTGGCTGGAGTTTCTCCCAACGTGCCCACCGGCCTTCCCTCAACGCCCTGTGTTGTAGGTTCCGGGTCACCATGTCCCACACGAACCGCACGTATTTCTCCTCTGGATTGGGTCCGTAAAACTTCAGGTGCACCCCTACCATCGTGCCAAACTCTAGTACGGAGTAGCTATACGCCATGCTTGCTGTAGCCACTGCTGGTTCCATTATGTTGCTGAAGATAAGGACGCTGCACAACTCCACACGTTACCGGTGTCTCCGAGCTGCTTCTCCTCGCACCAGGATGCCATCCCGCCGCTTGCCACCAATGTAACGGATCGCCTGGCACCCCGACTGGGTACCTCCGTTGAAAGATGCTCCTAGCGCTTCCAGAGGACTCCAAGCACTCCACCAGACACCATAAGCACCGCAGCCTGCAGCTATCTCCCTTCAGAACGAAGCAGGAACAAGCTCTTACAAGAGCTCAGTGATTATAGCAAGGGAATATGCCTAGCATAGCAATCCCTTGTAGCAGACTCCCCCAATAAGAGACAGGACTCAAGTTGAGGGTAAAAATAGAACTCTCTGGCTGCTAGCTTGCAGCCCTTTTTATTAGGTGCTCCCATGAAGGGGAGGGACACACACAGTAACGTACATTAACCAATCACACAATAGTTACATCCCACACATAGCCCTCCCCTCTACCTGTAAACTAATTATCTGTACACACAGGGAAATACAATTATCATAGGTAGGGAAAATACAGTTTTTACACAACATTCATAACTCCCAAAATATACATCACATTCGCATAAAAATACATATTCACAATCAATCCATTCAGGGGAACAACATATTAAAAAATGGCATGAATCAGACCAGGGGTTCAAAAGTTAGTAAAAGTATATTTTGTTCCCCCTGGCTCAAACAGTAAAAGTAAAACATCCCCACAATGCATCCTGGCTTCCTCCCTTCTGCCCTGGAGATAATTGGAGAAGGAATCTAATTATCTCCAAAGACAGAGCCAAACTCCATTACCCACATGGCAGACAAAAAGACAGTAAAAGACATAAAATTACATACTGACACATTTAGTACATAAAACACACATTTCTACATATCCCCAGATAGCTTGGATCTGACTGCACATTATTAGATGAATGGCACTCAGATCACACGAATAAGCCTTTCTGCAGGGAAAATAAACAGTTTAACCTGCAGGGCCATAGTCCAAAGGCAAGAGGCGGGCAAGCAGCCCCCTCCAAGGACACGTGGCGAGGTCGGTTTTGCCACAAATATCATTTATACAAGTAGCCTGATACCAGAACGAAAATCAGTATCGGAGGTGAGTGGAGCATCATAATTGGCCAGTATGCATCCCCAGCTTTTATTTCACACAAACTGAAAAGATCCCACCATGCAGCGGAATATGTTTTTCGAATCTGAGCCATTCTTCGGAAAAAGGGCATGGGATGCTTTTCAGGATCAGGGAGTGAGGTAACAAGGGTAGCAGCCTGGGAGGGGTTAAATGTGACATACATGGGTGGTGCACCGTCTGCTCCTGGGGTAACCTGGGTGTAACCTCTGGGGACGGAGTGCCGTTGGGGGAATCTGTTTCCCCCAGGGCGAGGTGAATCCTGTTCCTCCATGTCAACCTCCCCGGGTGCTGCAAGGCCCCGGTGTGGGGTGATCTCTGGGGAAACCGGGGCCGGAATAGCTGGGAGGCCAGTGATGGGTGACGTAGTTGGGTGGAACCCCGAGGCCTGAGGGGAAGCACCCACCGCATAGGGTTGGTCCGACGTCACTGACTCATCGGACCCGACCACCATGATTGGGCAACTGGAACTAGCTGGAGAAGTGAAGGGGACCAATGCCATGGAGGGGGTGGATGTGGGGGCAGGCTGGGGCGGGCGTGACAGGTGGGTGTTAAGGACGTGAGCAAGGGCAGAGATTGGATCGGAGGACTCGGGGGGAGGGATGGTAGGAGGGGAAGGGGTCGGAGGATCCGGAGGAGGAGTCAAGTCTGCAGGGGGCGGGGTGGGGGTAGCGGAGTGAACCAAGGACGAGACAGCGGAGATGAGGGCGGATATGGAGGTAGACAGGTCGTTGGCAGTGGTTGGCTCGGGGGTCACTGGGGGAGGGAAGGGAGTAGGAGGTTGGATCACGGCAGTGAGGGCAGAGAGGAGGGACTACAAATCGGTAGGAGGGGGAGGAGATGACAAGGCAGAAGGATGTGGCGTAGTAGGGGCGGGTGTAGTGGGCGACAGTGAAGACAAGTGGGTGGAGAGTAGATCAGCCTGGGGAGTAAGAGAGGTAGGGCCTGAGAGTGTAGGAGATGACGTAGGAATGGGAGGATGGGACAAAGCAGAGAGGGCGGTGAGGAGTGACGTAAGATCTATAGGAGAAGGAGGAGTAGGAGGAGAGTCGGTAGTGGTAGTGGGAGGGGAAGCGGAGATGGAGGAAGCTGAATCAGTAGGATGAGTTAAGTTCAAGAGGGCGGAGAGCAGGGATGAGAGATCTTTAGGAAGGGAGGGAGGTGACACAGCCATAGGGGAAGGTGGAGATGCAGAGGTTGCGGGGCGAGTTAATCCTAAGAGATTAGAGAGGAAGGAGGAAAGGTCTGCTGGAGATGGGGAGGAAAGAGGAGAGGGATCAGAAGATGCGGGAGGAAGAACAGGTGAGGTAGGGACAGTGGGTTGAGTAGAAGATGAAAGTGCGGAGAGAAAAGATGTGAGGTCCATGGACGGGAGCGGAGAAGGATCTGCGGGAGGACAAGAGTCTAGGGGAACTGTAGTAGCGGGATGGGTAAGGGTTGAGAGGGCAGAGAGCAGGGACGATAGACCGGTGGAAGGGGATGGGCAGGGCCGGACTGGCCCACCGGGATACCGGGAAATTTCCCGGTGGGCCGCGGCACCTGGGGCCGGTCTGACAGCCCCATTCAGTACTGATCAGGTTCCTGTGATCCCGGCCGGCCATGTGCAAGGTGTGCGGCCGCACAGGACCCCATGGGAGCAGGGGGAGCCGGCCGCACAGCTCACACATGGCCGGCCGCAATCATTAAAAAAAATATATATTTTTTAAAATAATATTGAGGCGGGGCGGAGCTTAGTGCGCGAGGG